CATCATGATCGGTTTACATTTTTTTTTTTTTTTTGAAACATAAAAAGATATAGACGTGTGTGTGTTTCCTTTTTTTATAACTGTGTCGCCTGTATACCAACAACAACAACAACAACGATAACAGAGAAATACCGATTTCACGGCCAAATTCCTATGTCAAATTGCGTTTATTTTTTCTTCTGTGGATTTTCGTAGCTTCTAGCAAAAAAAAAATAAAGAAAAAAAATTGCGCTTCCATTGACCGACTGACCGTGTCTGCGTACGTGCGTGTACCATAATAATACGTTCAGGTGCATTGTATGTTTTTTTTTGGAATCTTTTTTTGTAATTTAATTCTTTTTGGTTTCTTCTTCTTCTTCTTTAATTAAACATTAATTTTGCTAATTTTAAATTATTTATTCATTCATTCATTTATTTTTAATTAGCGAACGGATTAAATATTTCAACCAACTAATCAATCATTTAATAATGATAATAATAATAATAATATTGTGATTTATTAATCAATCAGAATCAGAAAAGATATTTTTGTTCACTAATTATTGATTCATTGATCATTTCAGCATTTTGAAACATATCAAACATATCAAATCAAATGATATCAATCATTTTCATATTATTAAAATTACCGAAACCATACATATCAAGATGCAGAATAATGATGCCTCTTTTACTTCCACTTCATCTTCATCTCAACACCATCATCAACAACAACAACAACAACAGCCACAACAACAATGGTCATCATTTTCACGTCCAATGTCAAGTCAAGCAATGACAAAACGTGATCGTTATCAATATAGCCCGTCCATGTCATTATCGGCAAGTACATCACCACAGCCACAATTATCACCATCAAATAAACAACCATCACCAATAATGATGATGATGATGATGAATAAATCACCATCAACATCAGCAGCAACAATAACAACAAATAATATTGCTGCACGTAGCCCGACAGATCAATTATTAGCCAATTATCAATGTGGTACATTGAATGCAAGTACACCACCATTATCACGAAGACGAAGACATTCAAAATTACATTTACGTATTGCATCCGAATTAAGTGTTGATCAAAGTGAAAGTAATTCAAATACAATATCAAATATTAGACAAGAATCTAATAGTTCGGTACAGAATCTTAATCAAATTAATAATAATAGTAATGTAAGACCAATGAAAGAAAGATATAGAATTGTTATATTAGGATCAAGTGCTGTTGGTAAAACAGCAATTGTTGAAAGATTTTTATATGGTCTTTTTTCTGAACGTCATTGTGCAACGGTTGAAGAATTACATAAAGGTGAATATGAAATACCAGGTGGTGGATGTATACCATTAGAAATTCTTGATACAAGCGGTTAGTATTAAATATTTTTTTTTATATAATGTATTTTAACTAACTAATCAAAAATCAAAATAATCTTATGGCATTAATTATCATCATAATCATCATAGGATCATTTGAATTTCCAGCCATGCGAAGATTGGCCATTTCTACAGGTAAAATACATTTGATTTTTTTTTTGTTGAAAATTAATTAATTAATTATTTTTTTGTTTGTTTGTTTCGAATAAATTAATTAATTAATCAATCGATTTTCTTTTCTTTTAACCAAACCAATCATTAATCATTATTCGATACAGGAGATGCATTTGCATTAGTCTATTCAATCGATGATCAATCATCATTTGAAGAGATAAAAAATATTCGTGAAATGATTAAAGAGATTAAAGGTAATCAACAACCAATGCCACCGATTGTTGTTGTTGGTAATAAAGCTGATCTTGATGATGATGATGATGATGTTGATGTTGATGAGAATAATGATGATGATGATGATGATAATGATGTTGATCATAATAATGATAATCAGAATGATGAACAGGATCGACAGAAAAAAATCACTAAACAAACAACAAAACGACGACAAGTTAAAATGGAAATGGCCGAATGTGAATGTATTGATTGGGAACATGGTTTTGTTGAATGTTCAGCTAAAATGAATAAAAATATTGTGAATATTTTTTCCTGTATGTTAATACAGGCACGTTTAAATGGAACATTAAATGTTTTACCAAAATATAGCTCAAAAGGTCATCATCATCATCATCATCATAATCATCCACATATCCAAGATCATCATCAACAACAACAACAACAACAAGGATCTGGTAATCGTTTTCAACAAAGACGACGATCAAGTTTACCAATAAGTGAATTATTTCATCGATCATCATCATCATCATCAACAACATCAAGATCGATAAGTGGACATGGAAATTCATCATCATTTACAAAGAATAGTTGTACACCTTCTTAAATCACCTAATATTTGTTTGTTTGTTTGTTTTTTCTTTGATCACCATCCATTTTGTGAAGCAATAGAATTGATAAAAAAAAACAGCAATTGCAATACACATCACTCTACATATCAATCGATGTTTCTAGTCATTTTTTTTTGATTAACACTAATTAACTTCATTTTTTTTTCTTCTAAATCTAATGCCAATCCGAACCAACCAACCCCGAATGAAAATAAGCAAATCATATTACACTGAATATTCACTTGAATAATCACCAAAAAAAAATATGCATATCATTAACAAAAAAGGGATAAAATCAAATCAAATACATATCACAATGTTGTTTATTCTTTTTCTTTATTCTTTGTTTTTTTGTCAATTTTATTTTTCCAAATCAATCAGATTGGTTGATTATGTTTTTTTTTGTTTTGTCGGAAGAAGAATGAAATAAAATATCAATTTTGATATCCGATCAAAAGATGGCGTCACCAGTTGTTGGGGTCCAACAAAAGTCATCATTCAAAATAAAATGATGATGATGACTTGGCGTGTTAATAATCTCATTGGGTTTTTGTATAGGATTCTTTTTCTTTTAACGATTTATTTTTCCACCATTTTCATAGAGAGAAAATAGCAAAAAAAAATAAAGGATCTAGACTCTCGGCGTCGGCGACGAAGACGACGACGGCGGCAAATATATAAAATTTATTATTATTATTGTATGTGTTTGGTATGTGTATGTAGCACACCCAAAAGCAAAGTTCATTGTCTGATGGTTAGATTTTTTTTTTTTTTTTGTTGGATGTATGCGTGTGGATGACTGCTGTATTTTTTTTTCTTGTATAAGTGCAACACTGTTTAATTTTTCTTTTTGGTTTATATGAAAATGTCTATGTGAAATGTGGATGACGATGGATGGATGATGGTGATTGACATGAACGAACCAAAACGAACTAACAAACGAACGAACGAACGAAAAACAAGAATTTAGTGACGATAGACAGTCACAATGTGTGTTGTATATTTGAGATAGTATGTGGTATATACACACACACAATGTTTGATGATTTCCGTTTGACTGTGATTTTTTCGTTTTGTTTCGTTTAGTTTTGTCGGTTTTTGTTAACAAAAAAAAAGAAGATATTGAATAAATGAATGAAACCTTGATATGTACCTTGATATAATAATAATAGTTTTTTTGTTTGTTGTTTAGGTTCATGTCAATAACAAGAAAAAAAAACAAATAAAAATTTTTTAAAAAAATAAATAAATGCTCCATTCATATAAATAATGATTAATGATTGATTCTTTTTGGATTGGAATTTCCGTTGCATATATCATATATTGTAGATATTCAATAATAATCATTTACGTTGGTCATTGGAATTTTCTTTTTTCTCTTCTTCGTTAGTATAAATAAAGAATTGGAAAAAAATAACCCGGCATTTCGGGTCATCAACAACAACAACATCAATGATTGGCAGGATATTTGGCGTTTGGTTATAATAATAATAACATGACATTTAAAAAAAAGAAAAATTCCATCGAAAAATAATGAGAATGACCCGAAAAAAAAACAGCAAGCAACATAAATTCTCAGACAGCCACACACACACACAAACACTGTCTCTATACCTTTTTTTTATTGGAGTCGGTCGGGTAAAAAAAAACAAAAAATTATTTATTTTCGGTATGTATGGTATGCGCGATGAACAACGGATAGAGAAAAATAAAATTCCCGATTTTTTACATTGGCAGCAAATAAAATAGAAGAAGAAAAAAAAACACAGAAAATCTCGAAATAACTTGTTACCTGTTTACATTAATAATGTTGAATGTTTTTTTTTCAATATTTCATCATCCGGCGTTCGGTTCAGTTTGGGTTTTAGTTTGATAATAATAAAGGTATTTTTTTTTGTTTTCCTTCTACCAGAGATATATCTATCTCTTTCTTTCTTTCTTTCTTTTTCCCGAAATATTTCCTAAAATATTTTATCCGTTAACAATCGATAACGAATGATGATGATCAAGTTGGCTGGCTTATACATATAACCAGGCCAGACTTATACGAAAAAAAAGTAGTTAAACAACTAGACGAATTAAACATCATCATGGTTGATTGATCATCATCATCATATAACCTGTTCGCAAAAGTTATGACAAAAATTTTAACTATGCCGTTTTTTTACCTTTTCGTCGTCGTCGTCGTTGCTCTTGTATTGAATAATGTTAATATTTTTGTTGAAGAAAAAAATCAACCGAATTGATGCCGAAAAATTTCCTGGAAGTCATCCAATGATTATGGTTGTTGTTGATGATGATGGTGGTGGTGGTGGTCATTTATAATGACCTATAGGGCATTCAAAACTGAAAAAAAGAGAAAAAAATGGCCAAAACGGGCCATTCAACTTTTTTGATCACCATCATTGTTGTTGTTGTCGATAATCATTATGAATGATGATGATTATGATGGTTATATATATGTAATATAAAAGAAAGAAAGAAGAAGAAAAAAACATTGAACAACAATGATTTTCAATGTAAATAGGCCACAATCAATGAATTTAATTTTTCTCAGTGTGTCTTTTTTGGAATATACATTTTACTACTACCATTATTTCTATTCAAAGCAAAAAAAAATGAATGAAAAATTCCATTGAAAAATATAAATTTAACTCCTTAATTCCATCGAATTGTCTCTTTTTTCTGTCTATTTATAGTTTTTGGTTCCCCTGTTTGTTTGTTTGTTTGTTTGTTATATCTGGATAGGAATTTGTTATTTTTTTAATATTCATATTCAATTATTATTGGGTTTGATTTTTTTTTTAATATTGAAAATTTTTCTGTTCTTTCATATTGACAACAGATCATTTTGTTTGTTTGTTTGTTTGTCTGTTGAAACAAAACATGTTGACAAATTAGGCGTTGGAAAAAATAAAAAATAAATTCCAAATAGTTTTTGATTCCATATATATAATCAACGGGTGATCACATCAAATGATTTTTGACCATATAAAGTTTGCAAAAAAATTTCTAGTTCATTCACAAGATTTTTGTTCATGTTGTTGTTGTTGTTGTTGTAATTAGAAACAACAAAAACAAAACAAAACTGTTTGTGGATCGCCAACACACAAACACATCCATCCTACTTGATTCAATTTTGAAATGTTGAAATTATCATTATTCGAACTGATTTCATTATATATTCGATAGGATATTTCTATCCAATATGTACATCATCATCAATTGGATTATCATCAATCCAATTTTTTAGATGGATGTAGGCCATCAACATTTAACGTTAACAAATTATATATCTAAAAATCTAAAATCAATAATCAATCAATATGAAATCAATTAACGAATGAAAAAAAAAACAAAAACAAAAATATTTATCAAAAGTTCAACCGGAATTTCGGAGGGGAAAAAATGAACATGCGCTTTACAACTTCCGTTGCGGAGGAGGGCAAAAAAAATCAATAATCTTTTAAATTTTGGGAAATAAATTTTATTGGAAAATTGTTTTTGTCTCTAATCGTTGTTTATCTCGTTTATCTCGCAAGGCGTTAAATGTTTACGTAAAATACAATAATGGTGGTGACAAATTAAATCCATTTTTTAATTTTCATTCAATCTATTTTTCTTTTTCTAAACAAACAATCAAATAAACAATCAATCGATTGATTGATTGATTGATCAATTTTATTTATTTATTTGTTTGTATTTCCGTTGAATCATTATGAATTAATTTACCTGAAAAAAAAGAAACTTTTTTTTAAAAAATATCATGATTAAAAAACATTCATAAAAAACAGGTGACACATTGTTGTTTGTTTGTGCTTTGAATTTCCCTCTTTCCTGATTTTGTTTTCGTCGATAAGGCAAAAAAAATGCTTTATGGGAAAAACCTATTACCGACGCTTATCTTTTTCGTATATTTTTATCGCTGATTTTCGCTACTGGAACTGATTGACTTTCTTAACGAAAAAAAAAATTTTAATCTTTTTTTTAATGAAAAACATACACAAATATTCAACAGGTCGTCGTCGTCGTCTGTTGTTGAAAACAATATGGCAAACAAAAAAAATGAATAGTTTTTGACCGGCTGCTTGGCGACAACACAACCGGATTCCATACCGAACCGAATAAATGCCACAGAAAAAAACCCATCATCATCATCATCATCATCATTCACATAAAGATATGATAATGAATAAAGTGGGCAACAAAAAAAATGTCATCAAATCATTCATCCTCATCAGTATTTCTTCAGCCAAAAAAAAAAATTCGGGCGTCATAAAAAAAAATTTTAAAACGTCCTATGACCCTTGTGGACTGAGAGAGAGAAAGAAAAAGAGAGGCAATTCACCCCTGACCTCATTCACAGTAAATTGAACTACCACTACCATTATCATCGGATTATATGAATTACCATTTTACCATATTTCAATACATTCAACTCAAAGAACTCGAAGAAGACAAAATTACCATCCACAATGATGAAGATTGAGAAGAAACAAAATAAAAAGAGAGTTCATCGACATTACTTAGTCTCTATATCTCTCTCTCTCACTATGAAGTTAAATAAACTGAAGACACACATATATTTCAACCAGAAAAAAAAGCGGAAAAGAAAATATTTGCCCAGTCTCTTTCGAAATGATCAAATATTTTCCCATTCAAAAAAAGAAAACTATTCGGCTTTTTTATGGGTGGCAGTATTTGGCGATGATGATGATGATATTTGATGGTGGTGGTGATGTTGATCATTCTATAGCCCAAACAAAACAACCGAAAATACACATCCGTTTGAAAAGAATATGCAAATACTATACGGACATGCGTATTATTCAAAGGATAAAACAGTTTGTTTTATTTGAAAAAAAAGAAGAAACATGTCTTAAAAGCCGGCATTTTTTTTCTCTCTCTTCTCTTAACTTATTCAGATCATCCACAAATGATTTCGAAATTTGAACTAACCAAAATGATTCGTTGAATTTCTTCGTTGTTGTTGATGATGATGATTAAAATATGCGCGTGTACCGATAAATGGTTAACAGAAAGAGATGCGGATTAAAGAGAAAAGAAATAGATGTTAAATCACCCATTTAAATGATTTGAATGTTTTTTTCATTCATATAATATTTTTCTGTATGACCCTAGGCTTCTTCTTCAGCAAGAACAAAAAAAAAACTCTATCTGCTTCTCTTTCTGTCGTCCCTAGTGAATGTTTATCATCGTCATGTTTCTCGATTGAGATAGAGTCGAAATGAAATGAAATAAAATAAAATAAAATGAATGAACCGGTGTGGTGTCAGTTTTTATTTTTGGGTGAGCCAAACCAAATCAAAACTAGTATAGATACTAGATAGATTTTCCTAATATTTTTGATCTACTCGATTTTTTTTTCTTCTTTGGTTGGTGTTCAACAAACCAGACATTCATTCATACATGATAGTTTTAGTATTCGATCAGTATTCAAACTATCCAGTAGTGTTTAATGTGTTTAATGTGTGTGTGTGTTTGTTTGTTTGTTTGATTCAAGATGTTTGTGCTTTTTTTTGATTTAAATAACCGGATGATGATTCAAATCAAATCATTTTTCTCTGCTCTGGAATCAATCAACATTCAATTGACAAAATTTTCTACCTTCAATTCTCCACCGGTAAGTTTGATTTCTAATTTAATTTGAAAATAGATTTTTTGTTTTTTGAAGCCAAAATTTCATTTGATTTTGCCACAACGGACATTCACATTCAAAACAGACAGTTGATAACGAAAAAAATTCGGGCCATTAACCGGCATCGATTATTATTATTATCAACATTAAAATCATTCAATCAATTCGATGAATGCCACCTGTATTACATTGTCTGGTTTGTCCGTTTGGTTTTCGGTTTATCCGGCGGCTATCTATTTATTTTTTTTTTGTTAATTCAATGGTGCAATGCACCGTTTCTGCTTGGTTGGTCGGGCAGGTTATGATTTTTTTTTGTGGCTGGTTGGATGATGGCTTCATATTTCTTCTTCTTTTTTTTTTGTTGTTTAAAAAAAGCCGGTTGTGCATGACTGATGCTGCATGTTTTATATTTTTTTTAAGGCCAATCTATACCCGAGATAACCGATGATGATGATGATGAAAAATATTTGGAGCATACACAATATATGTATCTGGTATGAATTGGTCAGATATTTTTCTCCAACAAACCAAAATGAATCTTTCAAATGTGGATTCTGTATTGTCAAAATCATCAATCATTTCATTAGGATTACCGATTGTTTGTTTGTTTGTTTGAATTATAACCGGTAAATAAAAAAAAAATCTAAATATCCATCAATTGATTGATTGATTGATGGACAACTATTTCGACTATTTTAATCTATTGTTGTTTGTATCAAATCAAATCAAACAAACGAACGAGTGAAAAATCAAATTAACAACAAAAAACGATGACACAATTTTTTCATTCATAAGAATCAAAAAACGACGAAAAAAGTAAAATAACAACGGAATGAAATCATCATCATAATTGCAATTTACGATTGCAATTTTTTGTATTGTATATTGCGTTAGTTTTATGCATAACATCCAGTACAACAACAGAAGAAAAAAAAACATTGAGAATTACGAATGACAAGACGATGATGATGATGATAAAACAGGTTAAGAAAAGAAAACTTCCGGCTCCATTTTGCCTTTTTTTTTGTTAATGTTTTTTCCATTGAAAAAAAATATGAAATAATTATTTTTTCTTTTTTTGGCATTTTAAAATTCTCATCTCTCTCGTTTGTTTTGTTTTGTTTTGTTTTTTTTACAATCTTTTTTATCGTAGTAAAATTTCTTGTCGTTTTCGTGATTTAGTGATTCTTATGAATCGTTGTCGTCGTCTTCGTCATCGTATATCCCTTATACATTTCATTTCATTCATTCATTCATTGGATTTTTAATTCATCTTTTTTCTTCTTTTTCAGTAAGAAATTGATGATGCTATTTTTATGAATCAAATCATCATCATCATCATCATCATCAAATTCAGACATTTCGGATTTTTCTCATTTGAACCAGCCAAACAAGTCAATCAGTCAGTTAGTCAGTCATTCATTGTCAGTGATATGTACAACTTTAAATCTTTTTTTTTACTATCTTTTTCTCTATCTCTATCTCTCTGTGTGTGTATGTTTAAAAAAAATTTACAAACATGATTATTATCCCTTTTTAGCCGTCTTGTTGTTGGATAAAGCTTTTCTCTTTTTTTGAACACACACACACGAAAAATGATGACGCCACATTATTTCCGAAATCCAAAGAATGCCAAACATTCCTTTTAAAACAAAAAACAAAAAAAAAAACATTGATTGAGATTGACCATTCACAACAAGATACAAGATGAAGAAATTTGTTTCCCCTTTTTTTTTATTTTCCCTGAAATAAAATAAAACTGGATACTCTTTTTTTTTCGAAAAAAAGAAGCATCCATAATAATAATAATAATAATAATAATAATTCTGGTTGATATTCATCAGGTTTTCAGGTATTTTTTATTTTCTCTTTACAGGTATAGTTACACATTGATTACAGGTGAACGAGAAACAGAGAGAGAGAGAGAGAGAGAGAGAGAGAGAGAGATGGACGTCACAACTCGTTTTTTTTTCCTACTGATATGTACGTATACGGTGTATACACGTATGTAACGCCCGCAATATTTTTCATTTTAAATAGAGAAAAAAAAAATGATGATTATTATGATGACTATGGTGTCGAAATAGTGTAGGTAGGTAGATCTTTCTCTCAATTTTTTTTTCTTCTGATTTTGATTTTGAATCCGGTTGAAATATAAAGAGAAATATCAAGAGTTTTGTATATGTGTGTGTGAGTGTGACGATGAATAAAACGTCTAGTTTTGTTTTTTTTTTTTTTTGAATCGAATCCCATCACACAAATACAGCAGAAAAAAAAAGAAAAAAAAAAAAAAAAAAAGTTTGGGGTCNTATGTGTGTGTGTGAGTGTGACGATGAATAAAACGTCTAGTTTTGTTTTTTTTTTTTTTTTTGAATCGAATCCCATCACACAAATACAGCAGAAAAAGAAAGAAAAGAAAGAAAAAAAAATGTTTGGCGTCAAACCACTTTAATCGGCTACAAGAATGATGACGCCTGATAGGATTTTTATACATTTTTTTTCTGCTCAATATCCCGTTCGATGTCTTATGTGTGTGTGTGTGTTTGTCTACTGTTTTCAAATTTTTTTCTTGTTTTTTTGATTGATAAAAATTTTCAAAAAATTTTTCTGGTTTAAATTTGTTCACTTTTATCATCGGTGTTTGGTGTTGGTGATATTTTTTTGATTTGATTTGATTTGATTCTGAATGACCAAATCATTTTCTGATTTGAGATTGATTGATTGAATAGATCGAAATAGTCGTTGATATTGAAATTCTACAAACAAAAAAACGATTATTTTCTGTGTTTTTTTGTTTCAATTTGTGTCAATTATTATGGTGATTTTCAACAACAACAACAACAACAGCATAATTCATCTATCATCACAATTTTTGTTTGTTTTTCAGCAACAAAAAAAAAGAAATCAACGCTTCCGAAATTCCGGATTCAAAGATTCGCAATTGAAGGAAGGTGAGTGTTGTTGACAAGCACATATATCACATGAAAAAACATTATTTTAATCATTGAAAGAAGCAGATATTTGAGATAAAATAATAGTTAGCCGGCTAATGATGATTATTTGCGTGCCAGTAAAACAAAAAAGAAGTGTGAGGCACCGGTTGAATTATGATGATGATGATGATGATGCTGAATCATTGAAGTTTAAAATATTATCATTATTCATTCATGTGGATAAAACACCGATTAGATAATAAATAGATAAAAACTTACTTAAGTCGAAATAGTTGTTGGCCTTTTAACTAACTAATCTATACTATAACTAAACATATGCCAAATGGGTAAAAGGTCTAACCATTATCATCATTAATTTTGCCATTTAAAAAAAAACTTGTTGCACTTTTTTTTGTTGCATTTCTCATCATCATCATCATGTGTGTGCTAACCCACAGCCAATTTTTTTAGTTGTTTTTGCCCTCTTCCTTGATTACACACACACACACAATCACATCACATAGATAGATGAATACAAGGCTGACGACCTGATGCCTGAATGATAACATTCACTCCCAGACTATTTTGTTGTTGTTGTTGTTGTTGTTGTTATTCGTTCGTTGATTTTGTCAAATTGAAAAAAATATTCGATTCAATTTTTTTGAATTTGGTCTAAAATGGCCAATTTTTTTTCTCTTATTCTTTGGTTACAAAATAAATATTTATTAACCCGGTTTTTTTCACACACTTTTGGATACCAAAAAAAATAAAAATTTGACGCCGTCTATGTGACATTAGTGTTTTAATGACGCCATCAAATTCATTTGTGGTTCTTTTTAAAACCGTGTACAGGATTCTTTTTTTTGTTTCGTTTCCAATAAACGCATGCGTATACGCATGTCACATGTATAATATTTTATATCCATAATCTATCAATTGCGTATATATTTGGCGTGAATATCTTTCCTCTTTTTTTTTGTATCCCAAGGAAATGAGAAAAACGACGACGACGACGATGAGCAAATACAAAAAAACGAATGAGCTTGATGTAGTAGCAAAAGCAAGCTACAAGTGGTGAGAGAGGATCATTTTTTTCTGGGGAAAAAGAGAGGGGGGAGCATGGAACCAGGCCTGATGATTATTATATTCACTTCTTGATGCATTCAACATACATAACTCCTGGTCTATGTCTAACCATTACATACATACATGTATATATCCTATTCGCGAATTGAAGAGTATAGAAAATCCAAATGAAAAATTTTTTTTTTCAATATATCCATTCAATATTCGATTTTGGTTGTTGTTGTTGTTGATTTTGATAATATAGTGAGAGAGAAAGAGAAAAACAATATTTCGCACATCAAACTTTTACTGTTAATTTTTTGTTTTGTTTTTTGTTTTTTTCCCAGTTATAAACACATCAGTTAAAGATTAAAGTTTTTGTTTTTTTATTCAGAAAAACAAAAAATCGATGCAACCGCTAGTCTCATAATTCAATATCAACAACAACAACAAAAAAGTACGCCATGTGACGTTGTTATGATTCGAAGAGAAAAGTTTTTTTTTCGTTTTTTAAAAAAAGGTAAGTCGAATGATTTTCTTTTGAAAACGTATATGATATTTATTGATTTCATTTCTTCAGAATCTTTCCAATTAAAAAAAACAAAACAAAATCATAATTCCTGGTTTGTTTATTTTCATCATTCTTACCTGTGTGTGATAATAGCCATTGCCAATCAATCAATCGATTCGATGTTTTGTTTTCTGCTGTTGCTGTTTATACCTGGTTGAATTGATTTAGAATTGAATTGTATGTAAGTAACCCTGAATATTTTTCTTACTTGCTAGACAACGACTGTACCTGTACACACACACACATAGTCTAGCTTCATCATCATCATTGTTTAAAGGTAAGGAAATTTATTATTTTTCTTCAAAATTGATAGAGATGTGATTGTCATTTTTTATACTTTGTGTCCAAAAAAAATTATTATTATTATTTAATCGATCATTCATCGGACGCACACAGACATAAATGATCGCAAAAAAATACCTAACAAAATCATCATTTGAAATTATATTATACAAAAAAAAAATATTATTATTTTTGGTTGTTTATAATTTTCAATTCAATTCAATTCGATGATTTTCCTTTATATTTATATATACTACATAGACATCATTTTAAGCTTTTTAGCCAATCGTTGTTTCGGTGTGGCCAGACCTTTTTTATATTTTTTATTATTTATAGAAGAAGAAATATTCATCGCTGTTGCTATTGATGATTTTTCTGACGATTGTTGTTGCGTATGATGATGATGAATTTCTCCTCTTGTTTCAATAGTGCCTGATTTTGTTGTTGATGATGATGATGATTGGCCATGTTTTTCAATTTTTGTTGCCTGTTGTTGTTGTCTACTATTAATGATATCAGCAGCATTTATATTGCCAATCATTGTTGTTGTTGTCGTCGTAATCATTTTGGATTGCTGCGACGAATTTTTTAAATTTTTTCGATTAACACTTATACCGCTATTCATTGTTGTTGATGTTCCAGGTTTCCATATTTTATCATTAGCAATATTTTGTTGATGATCTTCAGGTGTATCTAGATCCATATAGATATAATCATCATCTTCACGTTTTTTACTTTCAATTATTTTAATCAATTCATCATCATGTTGACGTTTTTTCTTTTTCTTTGATTTAGGAAATAATAACAATTCTTTGCCAACATTTTGATCACTATTTAAATCATATGGATCATCCATTGATCCTGGTGAGAAAAAAGAAAAGAACCAAAACAAACATGACGATGATATTTATAAAATCAACAATAATAATAATAATCATAATAATTACTTACTCCTGATAACATCCTGGGCAAGTTTCATATTAACTTTAATTTTTAAATTTGAATTTGATGATGTATCTGCTGTATCGACTAAATCTTTGATTTTTGTTTCCTCTGGATTCATTGTTAATGTTGATGGCTGTGTTGATGATGATTGCTGTTGTTGTTGTTGCTGCTGCTGATCGATAGTATCTTTTGATTTAATTTTGATTTGATCTTTATTATCGTTTTGATTGATTTTCTTTTTCTTTCTTAAACATCGATTTAGGTCACGTATAATTTTTGAACAATTAACAGCTCTAGGTATTAATTGTTGTTGTTGTTGCTGTTGTTCATTAGTGGATCGTTTTGATTTAGATTTCTGTAACCAGAATCTTAGTTTTTCTATCAATGCTGCAATACCCATCGATAGATGTTTAGGTGGTTGATTTTTAAGATTTTCTTTTGCTAATTTTAATATATTTGGTGCAGCATACCAATTGGTCAATTCATAACTGGGAAAATCTAGACCAGGTTTTTCCAATGATTTAAGAAAATCATTGATCGATAATTGCTTTGCAATATTTAAACTATGTAGAAAATAGCCACCAAATGCAATAGTATCATCATGTGTGAGTATCGAATAAATCCAACCATTTGGTATGAATATTGTTTGGCCTTCTGTTAATTTCACTTTGAATACATTCTCTGCATTTCTATAGAACATTATTTCATGTAGATTTTCTGATTTAATCCATTTCTCAAAATGAGCTAGATTTTCATTGCTAGGTTCAATCATATAGAATGTTTGTTCACCTTTCATTATATGATACCATGCGGATGCAGCACCAATATCGATATGAAAATCATTATATGCATTACGCATTGATAGAAAACAATATTTTGTTAGTAATGGCTTAAAAGGCACATCCGGCCAATACATATCGACCCAACTAAGACGTTGTACAATCCGTGGTGGTATAAATTGTTCACCTTTAATATTTTTCGACATTATCACACGAACCGCATATACATCCTGTCGTTCGTCATGGTTAAGTTTAAATTGATTCAATAAATAAGATAGTTTAGTTTTCACTTTGATCTGGCGAGTAACTTCGATTGCATCGACTATCAAATCTTCGGGATAGTATTGATGAGCTGTTGATAGATTGAATTGCGGATCGATTGACATTTCTAAACCATTTTTTGATTCGACAATAATTGGTCGATCAAAACCGCTTAAAATTAATTCTTTCAATGATAATTGTTGTCCACGCATACGTTTCACATCGATCATTGATCGTGCATCCGGAATCGATGTTGAACGTTTTAAGTAGTTGATAAAATCCGGTGTTCCCGTTTGTATAGGTAATTGATCGGCATTTTCAGCATTTCGATTATGACGATGATGATTTGTGATTGTTTTCAATGTAGATGGACCTGTATATGGACGACATATTTGACAATAAAATATAGATGTTTCTTGAGCTTGATGGACTAGTAGATCAGCACATTCTAAATGAATTAAACGTTGACAATTGTTGCATGTTATTGATGATGAACCGAAAATGACGCCATCTTTATTATTATTATTTGAACTCATACCCTGACCACAGATGCATAAGGCCATAATATTGCTTGATGATAATAATTTATTGATGAATTTTTAAATAAAATGATGTATCTATTGAAAGAATATTCATGGTCAGAATATCATGATGATGATTATGATGAAAATTAATCATCATTATTGATTGATCGACACTTACTTACCAAAATGTTGATAATGATGGCAACCATACCAATTATTTGAATCGACATTTATTTTTCATTCAAATTGAAATTGGAATAGCAGTTATGTGTTTTATACACAAAAAGTATGATGCTTGGCAGCGCGCATCCAAACAAACAAACAAACAAACAACAGGCGATGAGCAAATGTATTCAAAGAAGAAAAAAAAACACTGTATTTTTTATGCTGCTCAATTTTTTTTTCGATGTTGTTCATAAAATACGTTACAATGTCTGGTTAAATAATTTAATTGGTGATTGGCTTTTTGTATATTTGTTTAGTGTGAAATAGCAAAACGAAAAGGCAGTAGCATAGCCGCAGCATCATATAATGCTGCTTGTTGAGCGCTTGTTGACTTGATGTTTGGCGTGGCGTGTGATGATATTTGTGGTGGTAAAAAGGAAAGGCGAACGAAAAACGTGTCTTTCACCGAAAAAACAACCACCACAAATCGACGAACCAAAATCAAAATCGAATCAACGATGAAAAAAAAATTCGAAACAATGTGACTTTTTTTTTGTTGTTTATTTTGTTTGTTTTAATGTCATTTCAAAATTTTTCTAACTTTTATTTTTTGTCTCATTCCAGATTCTAAGATTCAACAGTCGATGATTTCAATATTTTTTCAACAGGACAATCGAATCCAATCATCTCAACAACAACATCATCCTAATATTTTTCCTGAGCTACAAATGGGGTTTTCACAGTGATTTTACACAATCATTATCAGGTTGTTTGTACCAAGAAAAAATAGAAACAAGATAAATCATCCTATTCTACAATCATCCAGTGTATCAGAAAAAATTCTTGAAATTTTATGGTACAATATTATTCTGGTTGATTCGTTGAAAAAGAGGATTTTTCTTTTCTTTTTTTTCCTGTGTTAAAAAAAATGTGAGATCATTGTGAAAGCTGTTTTTGTATTGCTCAATATAAATCAACGCCCATCAATTCAATTTTTCAAAAAATTCTTATTCTGTTAATCCAATTTTCTTAAATGTTTAATGTAAATTTTTGTAAAAAAAATTGTCAAATCTGTCACTATTTGTTTCAAAAAGAAAAGCAAAAAATAATCAATAAAATGATACGTTGACCTAATTTTTTTGTTTCTTGTCCATGTGATGTATGCGTGTTGTGTGCTGTGTGTGTGATATTTTTCTTGGGAAATTTTCTCATTTAAAAGGCCATCATTTGTTGAATGCATGCTACATATTTCTTCATTTTTTTTGTTACATTTATTCACACACATAACACAATCCATATCCGAGTATCACATGTTTTGAATTTCAACCAAGAGATGGCGATACAATTGATTGAAATTTTTTATTTTTTTGTCAATTTAAATTTCAAATTAAAATATTTGCTTTGTTTCGACCTTTGGCCTATCAAAAATGATTTCATTTTCTGTTATCGCAAAAGAATTACAAGACAAGATACAATATTTTTTCGGATGGTTTTGTGTGTGATTGATCAGAAGAAAAAATGTATCACAAAAATCGATATCATTTCAGTCGATCATCATCATCATCACCAGGAGATATTTTTTTTTTTGCTTGAAAGCCGTGGGAAAGTCTGGTTGTGGATATTTCTTGGTTGATTTTTCTTTTCGCTTCAGTTTTTAGCATCAATTTATCGATCGATTGATATCGTTTTGTTTTTACATCAAAATTACTTTACAAACCAAAACTTATTACAAGTTTGGAACCATAAACACTGACGATAATGATGACAACGAACTATATCGAAAAAACAAAATGATAATCAAAATGAAAAAATGAATTTCATCATTTCATGATTAAAAGCAATCAAAAAAATGATTCGACAAATAGAAAACAAATTCATTTTTAAGGCTGAGAAAATTTTCGATTAATAATTTGTGACAATCAGAGAGAAAAGTGATTAATTCATACAAACTGATTGCTGAAAGAGAAAAAAAAAGATCCTCTTTGGTCCGTATCCTTGTGTGTAATAAGAAGAATATCCGGGCATTGTTTTCGGGTTGTTTGGTTGGTTTATTCGTTGGCCACAAATGATTTATGGAAAATTTCTTCTTTTTTATTTATTTATGATCGGATTGAATTTTAGAATTAAAAAAAAGTTTAATTAAATTAAACTTTTTTCTGTCTAGCCATAACCGTAATCATCATTATCACCATGATCATCATCATTCAAAATGGTAGATTTTTCTCTGGGAACCCGAATAAAAAAAATCAAACGGCAGCTAACAGCTACCACTTGCTGGTTGATCATTTTTTGGTTCATTCTTGCTTACTGTGAATGATGATGATTATCATCACCATAAGCAAAGTGCAAAATGGATTGCATATGGTTTTTAGTTTTTTGTTTGTTTGTAACAAACATATATAGGCAACAAACCAAATCCAAATCAATTAATCATTGAAGATGATGTTTAGATTTGTTGTTTTTTTTTCTTCAATTTCTCACTCACTGTTTATCAATGAATAAATGTGTGTGATACACATGGAGAGATGAATTTGTTTGCAAAAAAAGAAAATCTATCAATTTAAAAAAAACAAAATAAATGAACAGATAACATATCTAAATTTTCAATTGAATCCGGTATTGTATTGTGTTTTTTTTTTGCATTTTTGTCCAAGAATAGCGAGGGAAAGAATGATTGATAAGACAAAACTTATATATTTTCGGGATAATAATAATTTAGTTACAATATTGAGAATGTCCGTAATTTCTTCTTTTTCACTTGAACATTCTCAACATTTTATCAAACATGACTATCAAATCAGTGTTTTATTTTTTCTGTTGACCACATTGGAATTTGCAACAAATTTTTTTTTCTTCGTTCGTTCATTCGTTCACTTAATAAATTTCATTTACACATTTGCAAAAAATTTGTTATCAATTTGATCAGTGTCAAAGCTTGAATTACCCATTCTTGTTATGTTTAGCGATGTAGAAAATTTTCATTTTTGCTTGTTTGTGTGATTCACACAAACATACATGACAGATCTTCAAAAAAAAAGCGATGTCGTGTATTTTGGCCAGAAAAAAAATAGTGATGGGCCAAAATCATCATGTTATGTTGTATCACAAACAAACAACGACAACAACATCGAAATATCATTTCGAGATGTAAAAGATGGATGATAAGAAACATTTTGATTTTGATTTTTTCATATTTTTTTCTTCCTCCTTGGATTATTTGTATGTCGGCATCATCATCGACATGATGATGATAATAAATTTTCAATGGAAAGAAAAATCATCACTTTAATAGATTCCAGCGATTTATTTTTTTCATTTTTTTTCGCTGATCTGAATATCAATTGATGAAAATAATGTTGTTTGTTTGAAATGAAATGATGATGATTATTATGATGATAAGTGGCTATTATCATCATTTCAAATTTGACGTTTTTTGAACGAAAAAATCGCTGCTCTTGTTATGAATGAAGAACTTTTTTTTGAAGGAAAAGATTAAAGATGTAAGGTGTGTGTGTGTCGTGATATCACGAATTGTTGCTCGAATTGTAAACTTTGAGGAAAAAAATTTTCGGGATCCAAGATTAAGCATTCAAAGAAATTGATTAAAGACGTGGACCTTGTTTCAATGACCTTTATTTTGGCCATTGACCATTATAGCCCATAGAAGCCAACTTGGGTTTGTTTTCCATCGATATGCATCGATGAATGAATGAATCACATGATCTGAGCATCAAATTATTGGGCTGTGTATGTGTGGGTGGGTGGCTAAACCTTATTGAATGATTGAAAAATAAAATTACTTAACCGTGAAAGTAATATTTTATTGGATAATTACATAATTGGTAAATGATAGGTTTTTGTCACCTGTGTGTGTGTGTGTGGCCAAATATTTTCAATTTATCAATGTTTGGTTATGGAAAAACCATTGATTATCTAATTTTTTTTTCTTCTCAGTAAAAAACTTTGTTTGTTTTGTTTTGATCAATGTCTGTATCATCATTGGCCATTTCCGAAATCATCTGAAAAAATTCACATTCGAAACAAAACAAAAAAAAAATTCATGGATCAATGATATTTTACACACTAAATATAGATTGCTTCCTCATCATCATCATCATCGGATTTGGATTCAAACTTGTATATGATGATGATGATGATGAGTGTATATAAATATCGATTTCATAATTTGACCGCAGCAAAGAGAGAAAAAAAAAATTTTCAACTTCAATGGATAATGATGATGACGCTTTTGACGGTGATCATCATGATGTTTTTGAATTTTGTTGAAATTTTTTTTTGCTACATTCATTCATGGTTCAATGAGAATCATCATAGAATAAATGCCGCGCGTTTTTTTCTGTTGCTGTCGAAATTCAAATTTCACCCAAGAGTTGCTCGATTCACTATAAGGATGATGATCGATGTCGGTTCTTCTTTTTTTTTTCGAGGGTACTTTCTTCAACGAAATTCTCTCACTCAAAAAAGGAAAAAGACCCAAAAACCGAAACCAGATTTTTTTATTTACTTGGCTTGATTTAATTTAACTTGCGTAGCTAAGAAAAACTCGCGCGTCACTTGTTTTTGTTCAACAAACAGCAACAAAAAAAAATTTGTTGAACGCAATCAAAATATGGTAAAACCGACACACAAACACCAAAAAAAAGCATAAATAGTGTAAAATCATTAAGATCCATCGTTTGATTCACATGTGTGTGGGCGGCTTAATTCAAAAACAAGGACCATTTTCCGCCATATTTTTATCAACAAAATAAAATTCTGGATCCATTTGTTAAAAATCTTTTTTTTTAAAAAAAAAGATCAGATATAACTTAGCCATATCATTAGATCAAACTTAAGAAAAGAAATGCCGTCCTTTGTTTTTGTTTCTCAATGTTCACTATATGATGTAATCATATCATCATCATTAGATGATATTCTGTTATTGCCTCCCCCTCCATCATAATGTTTTAAAAGCATTCGGAAGAAAAGATGAAAAATTTCGTATAATGTGGTGAATAATATTGATGACGACAACAACAACAACAACAAAAAGTATCGATTAAATCGATTGATTTCATTTTGTTTCAAATAAGAAGAAGAAAAAATATCTGGGAAATTTTATTTTAGATTTTTTTTCTACATAATTTATACAAAAAATATTGTTACCGATCAAATCAAAATTGAATTTTTTCTCAAAATTTCAAATACAATAGATTTTCTTTGTCTTTTTTTTTGTTTGTTTCTGGTTTTACATTTGTTTTTGTTTATTTTTTGATCAATTGATTGTCTGTCGACAACAAACAAACAAACAAACAAACCAAACAGCAAAAACAAAAACATCAAAAAAAAATCCAAACATGTTCTGGCAAGGAAAAAATGATTCGTTCATGAATTTCCAGAAAATTTCTTTCATTGGTTTTCATCACCAGATTTAATTTCCGTTTTTTTTGTTGTTGTTGTTGTTGTTTGTTTTCTGTAATCAAACCAAGAATAATGATGATGATGATCATCATCATTTCATTTTTAAAATCTGTTTGATTCTACGCGATTGAATAATGTCACCCATAATGTTTCTAAAAATTGTTTTTTTTTTGTGTTTCATTTTTTTTGTTATTAAAAATCAAAATTAAAAAAAATGATGCTCGAATAAATGTTTTGCCATCATCATTGGCATCCTACACACATCACATAAAACTTTAGTTCATATCAAAAAAAAAAGAATATCTCTCTGCTTGTTTGATTTGAATGAAGAATCATTGTTTATGTTCATTCATTTGTATGATGAACAACAACAAAAAAAACGGATAAATTAAATTTAACTCGAAACATTTAAGATGTGATTTTGCTATTTTACTGAATTCTGAACAAATATATAGTGAACATATAGTGACAGAATTTTCTTCAAACAAAGTTCAACAAATCAACAAGAATATTCAGTCACAATGATGATGATAGTTGATGATGATGATGAATAATGGTCGAAAATGTAAAGTGACACAATGATGGTGATTGAAGAGATTAAGATCATCAAGTTTTCTTTCTTGGATAGAAATTTTGTCGTTGTGAATTTTGACGATATTTGTGACGTTCATCGTCATCATCTCTGCTGCATATTCGAGCCAAATATTTTTCATATTTTTACATAACTTTATCGAATGGTTGTCGTTTATAATGAAGAAAATTAGCTTTGGAAAATTCTCATTCATTCATTGATCAATTGATTAATTTGATTAATGAATCCATTAATGAATGAAGGTGTTGAATACTAATTGATTTCAAATTTGTAAATTAATCACTTAATTATTTTCGTTAATGAATTACCACTCTTTTTTTTTGTTTCTTTTGGAAAAAAACTAAGCATAAAAATTCATATAATGAAATTCATTTTTATAGAAAATTTATTTAGCAAAAAAAAAAAATAGCATCCTTGTTCTCACTTCATCATCATCATCATCAGGGTTGAATATAATCGTTTGTTTTTAAAAAATCAAGAATAGAATGCCTTTGTGTTTGTGTGTATATGTCACATGTGTCCTCCAATTTAAAAGAAAAACGTGCAAACATCTCTCTTTTTTCTGTAACAAAAGATTCATTCAACAACCAAAAAAAAAACAACACATTTTATTTTAACTATGAATTTTTATTTTTCGTTGCATATTAATTCGTTAATGATAATCGAAAAAAAACAATGAACAAACAATCTTTTTTATGATTTACAAAAATGAAATGAGAAGAATCAATTATATTTCATTATTTAAAAACATTTACTTAATTAATGCCATAAATGATGCTATTATCAACATATTTATTTAACCGAAACACCTTTTTGATTGTATGATTAATTGATATTGTTGATTGATGATTGGAAGACGACATACCTGAATATTGAATCAATTAATTAACCCTTCAATCAATCGATAGGATTTCCTATAATAATCGATTGATATTATCGATTGACCGATGATAATTCGATAAATTGTTTGGTCATCATCATTTATGTTTGCTAGAAAAATAAAAATGTTGAATGTATATGTCTTTTGCTAAACAGAAGGAGTGGCCTATTTGTTTTTTTTTCGCATTATAACCACTTGAATGATGTTTGGTTTTACCACAAAAATGTACATATCGAAAAAAAAGGGGAAAGAAAAAAGGAGGAGCTTCATCAACTTAATCTATATGGATGTTTGAGAAAAAATTACGCCCATCTGAAAAGAAATTCAGAACTAAAAATTAGCTTGTTGCTTATATTTTACAAGTAGAAAAACAAAACTGTTGAACACATCCAATGTGTGTGTGTGAGTGAATATTCACTGTATATGAATGTAAAGTAGGATGCACAAGCCAAAAAAAAACAATTTTCCAACAAAATTTTCGATATTCGGTTTTGATTTGATTGGCCATTTTGTTTGTTTGTTTGTTATCATCAAATGTTTCAAAAAAGAAAAAAAACATCTTTTAACATTAACATCATAAATATTACAATTATATCTTATTCAACTTAGAAGACAACAACAACAACAACAACAACAACGAAAAAAAAACTTCATAAATAAAAACCACCGACAAACCAATATGTCAATAATATTTTTATTCAAAAAATTTTTTTTTTGAATGAATGAATGAATGACAAACCTTTTTTTCTGATGTGTTTTTTTTTTGTCGAAAAGATTGAATGAATGAAAACATTCTTTTCCAAAAAATTTGGATACATTTTTTTCTTCTAATTAATATCATTTAGCTATTAAACACCGGCAGCATCTTTCCCTTGTTAAACAGAAATACGAACAATCGAATAACATTCAGATTGGAATTTTGTTTGGTTGTTTTGTTTTGAAAAAACGTCTTATCATCGAAATTGATTTTTTTTTTTGAAAACAATAAATCTTTGTATATGTTTGTCACCGTTTTTCATCTTTGAATTCGTTTGTTTGTTTCTTTGTTTGACATTTGGCTTTCCTTTCTGAATCGTATCCTTTTGTCTTTGGTTTGTTTGTTTATTTTTGTTTGTTTGAAATAACAATCATCAAGTGTTTATTGAAAAAAGAAAAATAAGATAATATGGCCGAATTAGAAACAACAACAACCACATCGACAACATCAACAAATACAACATTATCATCATTGACAACATCCAATGATAATGATATTCCATTAATATTACCAATAACAACAAAATATTCAATACCATTAGCTGTTGCTGCAAGTGGAATTGATTCATTATCATCATCATCATCAACAACAACAAAACAATCATCAAATGGTTTACATGGTTTAAATGATGATACAAATCCTGAAATCTATGAAGCTGTTTCAAAAGTTTTACAAAATTATAGCTGGTCATTGGTACCGAAAACAACTAAACCAGTTACAACAAATCAGGTGAAACAATCACATCATGTAAAACGTCCAATGAATGCATTTATGGTTTGGGCACAAGCGGCACGTCGTCAATTATCCGAACAACATCCACATTTACATAATGCTGAATTAAGTAAAACATTGGGTAATTTATGGAGGTAAGTTCAATTGTTTTATTAGTTATATGACATATTTAGATTTCTTTTTTGTTTGATTTGAAAAATAAAATTTAACAGAAATTTAGATGAAAAAACTAAACAACCATTCAAATTGGAAGCTGAACGTCTTCGTTGTCAACATAAAAAAGATCATCCAGAATATAAATATCAACCTAGAAGACGAAAATTATCAAATAAAGCAAATAACAACGATGATGATAAACAACAACAACAACAACCAAGTATCAAAAGAATTAATCGTAATTCGAAACGAAATATTCAACAATCATTACGTAATCAAAATGATGGTAATCATCATCAACATCATGATAATAACTGTTACAGTGATGATAGTAATGGATTAATGGGTAATGATGATCATCATCAACAAAATTTGGATCATGATCCAATTAGTCCACGATCAATGGAATCAACATCAAAAGAATCATCAAATTATATGGCTAGTAATAGTCCACCTACACCTCCTACTACACCACAATCAGCAAATCGATCTGGATCACAACATCGTAATAATCAGAATAATAATCAACAACAACAACAAACTGCATTCACATTGAAAAAATATGAATTCTCACCATATGCTCATCTTGTATCGCCCATCGATAAAATTGAAGATGGTAGTGATTGTATTAAAGAACATCAATCCGTTTCGCCAACATCAACATCGATTATTGGTTTACATAATTCTAATGGCTATGGCGATAATCATCATTCGATTGGTAGTGGTAATCATCATCATTTGGTCAATGATCATCATAGTCCGGGTAGTAATTGGTCTCGTTTGGTCGAATCATCATCATCATCACATGGACCATCATCATTCTATCATCCACATCACCATACTCATCATCCACATGTTGCAAGTGAAGCAACAAGTTTGATCAGTGGAAATGTTGATTCGAATACATCGAATACATTGCTTGGTTCAAATAATAATACGGCTGCCGCTGCTGCTGCCGCTGCAGCAACAATGATTGGACAATATGGTAGTGGTGTCGCATCGACCGCCACACCATTATATGTCAATAATATGTCGGCATATCATCCCGGTTCACATGGTCATCATCAAAGCTGGCCAAGATTTGTCACCGATAGCCATCATCATCATCCATATGGTCATCATCATCATCATCATTATGCAGCAACTGCTGCTGAAACAGGTTATGCAACAACAACAGCTCCAAGTTCATTTCACGATTATTATGTAACCACAGCTAAACGCAATAATATGACCAATTTTACTGCAAGCCAAATTGGTAACACTGGATTTATGACAACAACAACAGCAACAACACCAGAAACATCAAATGATCATCATCTTACAAGTTCATTATGGAATTCCACTACATCATCACCAACAACTACTGCTGCTTATCAATGTACCAAATTAGATCCAACGTTCGAAACAAACGGATCAACACATCAGAATCCATTGCTTACTGTTAATGGCTATCGTATGATGTCATCTAATCCATCAACATTATCATCATCATCATCGATAGGCAACATCACCACAACACCCGAAACCATTAATCTTAGCTAAAAAAATAATAATAATAGTTTTTTTTGATATGATAATAATAATTTAATTTAAATTTTGTAATTATAATAATTAACCATTTTATTCTACTTAAATTAATTTTTTTTAAAACAAAAATAAAATAATCCTCATGCAAAGATGGTAGTCAAAAAAAGATTTTTTTACAAACGAAATTTAAAAATTAAAATCAAATTTCAGGCACAAATGCTGGCATCTGTTGGATGATAACTAAATTACGAGTAAATTCTGTTGGTAAAGCATCATCGATTAGGCCATGTTTATAAAGTACAATACCATTACCAAAACGATTAATATATGATTGATATTGTCGTTCATAATAATCGACATGACATTCGATTGATGCAAACATTGCTTTACATTCGATCCAAGTGATTAATATTATCTGTTTATCATCGTCGATTGATTGTTGTTTGATTTGATCCAATTGATTTGTTCGAAATAATCGTATATTATTATCGTTCGAATCATCAGTTTTGTTGTTCGATCGTACTAATATTAATGGTAGATTAAGACAAAAATCTGGCGTTACATCATAGTTTCGATCGCGTAGTTGTTGTTCACATAGGAATGAAATCTTATTCTTTTGAAGATAATCACGAATTTCCAATTCAAATGACAATCCAACATTTAGACGCATTTGTTGTGTAAAAATACCATCCATCATATCATATAAATTAATTTCCATAATTTCATAAGCTAATCGTCCATTATCACAATCATTCGGATTCTTCAACCATTGTTTGGCAATCTCTTTATTCGGCGATATTTGATTGACAATAAATCGCATCAATGAATAGGCACTGACATTGTATTTTTGTGCCAATTCTAGAATCGATAACGTTTCATTGGTAGTATCCTTCCATTCCTGAAGAATTTGTTGCATATTAGCTTTGGTATTCGAATATTTATTCGGGAATTCTCGACGAAATTCATAGCTGACCAAACTATAAACAAGTGAAAAATCTAATGAATATTTATCGCAAATAGCATCGATGATTATTTTCATTTGATTCACGCCATTTTTTTCTGTTAAACTTTTTAAATCATCAATAATTGAATCGAAAAGAGATTTTTTCATTACGAACAATATTCGTTTGAAAATTCAAATTTTTTTTGCTGTAAACAAAACAAACATCAAAACTACTATTTTGATCGAGTGAAAAATCTGTCGAAATAGTTGGAATTTGTTTTCGAAATTCACGTGAGTAAAGCAATTTTTTTTTAATTTTCAATTAATTTTTTTTAATTTCTTAGAATATTATCAAAAATCAAATAATGAGCAATCGATGAAAGAATCAAATGTGTCATTTAGATTAACTTTTTTCAAATAAAATTCCATTTCAAAAAATTAGAAAAACTTTTTTATTTACCGATTTCAATCCGGGTCTGCAGTGTTCGGTCAATATAGTCGAAATTGTTTTGGCGCTTTAAACCTTGGTTTTTGAGAAAGTTTTGGAAATTGAAAAAACTGATTAAAATTTTGATTACACCACCATGACGACGCCGAAAAGTGCCTCAATTGTTGCTCCCCAAGAGAAAGGAACCGAAGACAAAGTTGCTGATGTGACAATGGATTCCATCGATATTTCAATTAAAATCAATCCTGATGATAGCATTGTGGTATCTAGCGCAAATGAATCATTCGAAAAGCCAATGGCTAAAAAACGGATTAAACTTTCCAAAGAAGATAGTGCTCGGATCAAAGCTGAAAAGGAAAAATTACGAGAAGAACGAATACAATTACAAATCGAAAAAGAAAAAGCCAAATTGGAATTGGAAAAAGTTCGTATAGAAAAGGAAAAAATGAAAATGGAACGAGAAAAACAAATTCTTGAAGAACGAGAAAAGAAACAAAATGAACTACAAATGAAGATGCAGATGAAGGAAAAACTTAGAAAAGAAAGAGAAGAAGAAAAAGCTCGCAAACAAAAACAATTGGAAGAAAAACAGTAAGTATCACTGAAATAATTCTAACTATAAATCAAACTAACATAAATTCTCATTCCAGAGCCATCATTGAGGAAGAGAATAAGAAAAAAGAATTGGCAAAGTTGACCGAAAATAAAAAACTGGAAAAAAGTCGAGCATTTATTATGAATTTTCTCAAAAAACCCAATACAAGTTTCAGTGAAAATAGTGATCCAAATACTGATATGAATCGAACATTGTCGACAACAGATAATGAAATCGATTGTGGTGAAGAATATTTATTTGTTCCAGAAAATCTATTCAATTCATTTGATCCTGATCAATTTGATCGTTCAATCATTAATCAGAATGAATCTATCGAAAATTTATATCTTGCTTGTTTATTGTCCGGTAAAAAAGTTCCATATCAATCAATTCCAAACATTCAATCATCATCGATTAATGGCGATGATGAATTGCCTGAACAATATCATTTAAATAATTATATTTATCTGAAATTCTATGAAAATCTTAAACCACCATATTTTGGACCAAAACCATTGACCACTGAAATTGATGGTCGACGACCATTTATCAAATTAGAATCATTAGATTATGAAGTGGATAGCGATGAAGAATGGGATGAAGGTGGACCAGGTGAAAGCCTAAGTAACACTGATTCTGAACCTGAAGAAAAAGATGATTATGAAATTGATAATGAATTTTTTGTACCACATGGTTATCTATCTGATGATGAATTCAATATGAATTCTGATCTTGCCATAAATAATGATAATAATGATAAATCACAAAAAAATACAGGTCCATTAACTAAAGAACAAACATTGCTCAATGAACGAAATCGTATTGGTGATAAATTAGCACCACAAATGATTGGATGTTTTTGGACATCAACATCATCATCGTTGGAACATCAACTATTCGGCCAAGATAAATTGAAATTTTTGGAACAATTTAAAATTTGTCCAATACCACTGCCACCGATTGTTAGCAAACAATAATTTAATGGTTGATGTAATTTCAATTAATTTTTCAAAAAAAAATTGTTTCAAAATATTCTTTTTTCTCAATTAAAATAAAAAAAAACTTTATATTCTGATTACGAATTGATACAACAAACCAAAAAAAATTCTTTCTACTTGGATTCTTTTTTTTCTCGATTCTATTTCTGTTATAATCCAACATCAAATATACTCATTATATACAGGAAATAGTCAAGAAGACAATCGATGGCAACAACAACAAAAAATAATAATATATCGGAAGTTAGTAGATCATCATCATCATCGATGATTGTTAAGATACACATTGTGTGTGTGTGTGTGCGTACCATTAAACATTGAAAATGTAATTTTTTGTTCAAATCAAAATATCGTGCCCGATTGTTGTGCACACACACACACACAAACACAAAAACTACCGCCGTATACACCACCAGTATGTGTCACGACAATGGGAATTTTTATATCATTTCTCAATTTCATTGTTTAGTAGGTTCAGTGAATAAAGTTTCGATTTTGTTCCTTTTATCATCAGATTGATTCACGTGTGAGCAATTCCATTCAATTTCATTCGGATCTTTTTATTCATTCATTCATTTTGATGATTGTTAATAAAAGTTTGATTCATCTATTGAAGGAGAGAGAGAGAGATAATGATCCAAAAATGGAACTAACAACAGAAACGAAAAGCATTGAGTTGACAATGTGAATTTTTTTATTTTGGCTGATGTTCGGTTATGGCTTGTTATTGCGTGACAATTAAGTATCGGTAATTATTGGAAAATTTGTCCATCACACACAAACACACACAATTCAACCGATATTTTTGTTGTTGTTATTGTTGTTGATGATATTTCAAAACAAACAAAAACAACGACAACATTATTGCATCATCATCATCATCGTCATCATCATTCGATAGATGATTCATTTCCATTTTCGCTTTCGAATCAAATTTGTAACGCGATCGTATCGTATCCTGTGTATGTTTTTCCATTCTGGTATCGTTGTCCAAGTGAAAAAATGATTCAAATTTCATTATCTTCTTCATCATCATATATGATATAATACGCCCCGAAATGATCCAAACAATAATGATAAAAAAAATAGCTTGAAAAAAAACAGGAAACTCAATTTTCTAAGCTTGTAGCTTTGTTGTTGTTGTTGAATTTGATGGGGAAATAGAGAAAAAGCCGCCGAAATTGTTGTTGTTGTTGTTGTTGTTATTTGAATTTTGTACCAAACCTAGAGAAAGAAAGAAAACAAAATATGATAAATTCATTTAGACTAAAACTATTACGATTTAGATGTTTTGTACCGTTTTTTCTTTTTTAGACATAGAATGAAAAATTCTATGCACGTAACTGATTCATAACAGGGATAGCATCTGTTTTTTTTTTATTTTGAAACTTTATTTTTTACACAAGATATTCTCATCGAACAACAACAGCAAAAAATAAAGGAATTTAGCGAAAAACAGTTTTTTTCGAGTGATAACATTCGAAACTATTTTGACAACAATCCGAGAAAAAATAAACACTATATTAACCTATAGTGTTACGCCATTATTTTTGTTTTCATATTTGTTGCATTGTTATCGTTAAAATTCATAATTGAAATCATTTAACAAACAGAAACCGGGTGAAGAAAAAAAATATTTCAAACAGTTTATTCAGGCATTAACATTTTGTGTGTGTCTGTATGTGGAACATATGTGTGAATAGATTCAAATTATATTTCGGTTCATTGATTGATCGATTGATTGATTGATTGATTGGTTGATTGGCTTATAACAAATTTAAATAAGTTAAAGTGAGTTGTTTAAGATGAATGAATGAAAACAATTATAACCATATTACTTTATTATTTGTTTTTCTTTCAACAACAAAATGCAAAACTCAAACCAATTTGTTTCGAAAAAATTGGATAAAACGGAAATCATTCAACCCTTTACAAACCAATATTGTCGATATACGTACGCTGATCCATTTGAATGTTTTTTGTTTTTGTTTTCGTTTCTGTTGTTAAATGCCGACCCGATATTACTTTGAAATTATACCGAAAATACAGTAGCCAGTTGTGTTTGTATCCTTTATATTTTGTTTTTTTTTTGTTGATAAATATGAATTATGTTTCCAAAAATATTGTAGCTACTATGATGTTGATTGAATCAATTCGAGCGAAATATGAAACGCGAATACGTTTTTTTCCTACCGTTTTGTTGTTGTTGTTGTTGAATGGGAAAATCAATTTATAAATTCTGATGATAAAAATGTAAAATATTGTTGTTGGATCGCCCTCAGGCTTTAAAAACAAAAATAAAAATATGCCATCATCAGTGATGGTGATGTCATTTTTATCGGATGAAAACAGTTTGAGTAAAAATGTTTCAAATTTTCAAAATATCCATAATATTTTGGCAGACCTGTCATTCATCACCAAGACCATGGACAAAATTACTTATAATTGACTTAGTGTCAATGGTAGTAGTAGTTTGATGTTTGTAATATTTGTCAACCAATCAGTCAGTCAGTCAGTCAGTCAGTTAGTAAGCATCTTTGTTAATAAAAATACCTCTCGGCTATTTTTTTTTGTCTGCATTGAATTTTTAACACCTGAACGTCTTTTTTGTTGTTGTTAAAACATCATCACTAATAATAAAAGTGTGACATTTTCAATCATTTCTGTTTGTTGTTTTCGGATTTAAATTGAAAGAAGGAAAATAGACATCATAGTGAATCATCTCTTTCCATATTGGTGGATACTTGCATTTTTTTCCTATTTATAGAAATAAGTGAAAAGAATTTTCAGATTTACACTTAGCTTTCAACATTAACACACTCGCACACACACACACAATAAAATCAATCAAACAAACTAATTGACTATTAGATTGGCTTCGATTATTCGGTTAACAAAATAGGTAAAATTTTTTTCAATTTCCATCGCACTTTATTCGTGTGTTTTATGGTGTATGTATTATGGTGTGTTGAGAAATTTAATTTTCAATTCTTTAGTTCATTTTGTTTTTCACTGAATAATAATGTTCGATCATCATCATCATAAGCAATGATGATGACAAGCTAAGTGTTAATGTAAAAAAATATAAATGTGTGTGTGTGTGTGTGTATGTGTTAAATTAAATGGTTGAACAATTCTGAATATTTCGGGTGTGTTTTGTGTCGATAATCAAATTATTTTATTCAATTACCACCACTATTCATCCAGGGAAGAAAATATTAGCACTTTTTTTTCTCTCTGTTCATCATCTCTAATCGATTTGCTTGATGTTTTTTATTATTTCAATTTAGGGAAAAAAATGCAGGCCAATTTTCCATCATCATCATCACTTCTGATTCCAAAGTGTTAATGGCTATTGTTGTGTTGATGATGATTTGTGTTTAACGCAACCTTTCAATGTCAATTTGAAAGAAAATTCCAAATAAATTTGAATTTAAATTTGAATTTTATTTTTATTTACATTTTAAAATTGATTATTTTGGCTGTTGCAAATCAATCAGAAAATTAGTTTGAAAATTTTAAATAAATTTAAAACGAAATGAAATGAACATCGATTGAAAGGATTGTGAAAAAAAGTTTTTTTTTATTTTCAAAATGTTTTTTTTTAATCTTTGCTTAGATTAACTGGTTGTTGATGGAGGTTATTGGAGGTTCGATCAAGATCTACAATTTTATCATTATCTGGATTTTGTTTCAATGAATTATCATCACTTATAGATTCAAATTGATCAAGTATAATTGATGATGATGGTGATTTATCCATCAAATCATCATTCATGAGATCTTCATCATCATCGTGAACATCACCATCATTTAATATTGGTGATAAATTTGAACGGTTTGAATGATTTTGGTGATGAACTACTGAATTATTTGATGATAATAAACTTTCGATACTAAATTCCGTTACTGATGATCGATGATTATCATTGATTAATGGTGATCGTTGTTGTTGTTGTTTTTCCGCTATCAAATCTTCATTTTGTTGTTTAATATTTTCATATCCCATCAAACGTTTGTAAATGTTATTCATTTCATTATTTGATTGTTGCTGTTGATGATGTTGTGATTGTTGATTCATTGCGAATCTATTTGTTAATGTTTGAAAAAAATTAATAGCTTGTTGTGTGGCAAAAAATGCAGCTGCATTTGTTGGAACAATTGGATTTGATGATGATAATAACGGTTGTGTTGTTGGTCTAATCGTTGATGGTGGTAGTGTTGGTGGTGGTAATGTCGGTATAGAATGATGATGATATGTAAATGGTCGATTAATTGATGCCGTAGCCGCTATTGATGGTTTACGGTTAGTAACTAATGATATTGGTGATGATAAAATTGGACGTCCATTAACAACGACATCATCTTCGTCATCATCATCATCATCATCGTCATCATCATCGGGTACAGAAAGTCCCATATGACGACGAACTTTTCGTTGTGCTTTACGTCGACGAAAATCACCTTTTTTAAAATCTTCTAAATTGGCCGGATGTATTGCCCAATAATGACCTTTACCATTAGCACTACGTCCTGCTTTCATAAAACAATCATTTAATGATAAATTATGACGAATACTATTACGCCAACCAGGTCCACGATTACGAAAATATGAATAATTATCCAAAATATATTGATAAATATCGGCTAAAACCATTTTTTCATCCGGCATACTTAAAATTGCCATTGCAATCAAACCAATATATGATTGTTGTGGTTTATGATCATCATGTGAATATGAATAACGTGAATGATGATGATGATGATGATGAGATCGATTATAGTTTCCGCTGCCATTAGTTGCCTTTGTTGATGTCGTTCGATTATTGTTGACCATTGTTGATTGTGGCGGACGCGAACCAATAAATGCTGGTGATAATGATAATGATGATGATGATGTACCATTCGTTATCAATGATGATTGATTATGATGATGAAGATTTTGTATTGATTTTGTTAATTGATATTCAGCAGCTAAATGTGCTTTAGTAAAATGTTGTGCTAAAATTGTTGCAGCCATTGATGATGATGATGAAGATGATGGTAATGTTTGTGCTGGAAGTGGAGGTGGCAATCGTTGATGATTATGATTTAAACAGGAATTAGATAAAGCTAATAAATGATTCATATAGATTAATTGTTGTTGATCAATGATATTCGATGATGGTGATGATGATAAATGATGATTGTGATTATGTGGATGATGATCATTGATCATATCGGTTGATGAATTAACATTGTTTTTAATCAAATCCATTTTTTTCAACAAAAAAATCAAATCAAACGAAGCCCGTTTTCTATGATGACGAATTTGAAAATGAATCAATCTTTTCGACCAACGACGACAACAGCAACAAATTAATAAAGTTTTCAAAGAATAATATTTTTTCTTCTTCTTCTTCTTTTTTGGCAGATTTGTTTGCATTTTTTTCGCAGTTTGTTGTTGTTGTTGTTGATGATGATGTATATAACCACAATATATACAGCCAAACAACAACAACAACAACAATAATAATAATAATAACAACAACAATGAAAACAACAACAACAACAACAGAGAGAGAGAGAGAAAGAAAAAAAGGCAGACCTAATATTTTTGTTGTGTTTAAAAACACAACAAACTTTGGATAAATATTTTCATTTTTTTTATTTGTATTTTTTTTATTTGCTGCCTTAAGCATAATAACTTTTGTGTGTGTGCTAAAGTGTTATGTAAAAATAGGTGGAGCATAAGCTAATGCGAAACGCATGTGTTTCGTTGATGTTTTTTGTGAACATCATCAATTAACACAGAAGGGGAAAAATAGGTAGAAAAAAAATCAAATTGAAAATCAAATATTGCAATTCCCTTCGGATGATGATTGTTTTGTTTAGTTGTTTAGCTGTTGTTATCTTTATTGATCGTTGTTTGACACATCTAGCATCCAAATATTTTGATTTTGTTGATGATGATGATGATGATCTTGTCATATTGGTAAAAACGCATGTTTTCCATTTTTAAAACTAGATGGAAAAACACTTCAAATATTGACCACACACCATCATCAACGATCCTATAGCTATATATAAAAAAGCTAACAAAGAGGTGTGTCTTGTGTTTGAATTTTCTCCGCCTTTGAAACTTTTTTCTTTCTGTGCTGAATTCATGTGTTTTTTGGTTGTTTTTTACAAAAACACACACAACAAAAAACGGATACCCAGGAGCCAAACCAGGATGAAACATTTCAACAACAACAACAACAACAAAAAAGCATCTCCATTATCTTTTTTTTTTTATATTTTGCTGTTGGCTGTTGTTGTTGTTGTTGTTCAATTTATTTATTTATTTATTTCATGTTTGATGTTGTTGTTGTTGTGTTTATATAGCCAACAAAATACCGAATTGGCAAGCAAAAAAAAAATCCAAAACTTTTTTTTTGCTATTGCCAAACCCAACAACAATAATAACATCGTCATGTCAGAAAACAATTTTCTTCCATTACAACAAAAAAAACAGAATAGATAAATAAATAATCACATTAGACAATGATGAGATATATAAAAAAAAGTTGTTGTTGTTGTTGTTATCATTTGAACAACAACAATAGTTAAATCCATTGGAAACAAAAAATATTATTACCAAAGTAGATGTTGATGGCACACCATTTAACAATGATTTCAATCAATTGACCTTTTCCATTTTAAATTCAATATTTTTTGTTGTTGTTGAACAACACGAAAAACTATGTTCCATTTGACCGGAACTACTGTGTGTGTGTTAAATAGGAAAAATTTTCATATCTTTCAATATTGATCGCATGACAAGATACACGAGAGAAATGAAATGACATTTGATGATGATCTTGAATTAAATAGATTTTTTTTTTGCTGTTGTTGTTGTTGAAAGAGTTGATCATCATCATCATCATTTTCACTCTCTTTTCTTTCATTTTTTCATTCGTTTTCATTCGTCATTTCATGAATGGTGAATATGACAAAAGAAAAATCACTGAAAATAGTGTTTAAAAAGAAAGACCATATGATAATGACCATTGTCCAGCACAGACAACTTGACTGAATGACTGACATTTTTTGTTTTGTTTTTCTTTTTTCATTTTGGCCCCAAAACAATATTGTTTTCTGATAAAAACGAAGTGAAAAAAAGAAAGAAAGAAAAAATCTTTTTTTTCAATCAGAAAATAATCACTGATTTGATGACCATTTAGGTTAGAATTGAATTCAATTGAATTGAATGAATGAATCCATTCAACACTTTAACTGCTTCTGTGTGTATTTGTGTGTTTCTGTTTTTTTCTGATGTTGACGATAATGATGAATGAATGAATGATAATGATGGCACCATAAACAAACATATAGACAAATTGTAATGATCTATTGTCCATCTATTTGACCATTGTCGTCCATTAACTCATTCTCTGTGTGTCGATTTAGTTGCTCTTTTGTTGTTGTTGTTGTTGATTTTTTTCAACACAAAATAAAAATTAAATCACAACATGTTTTCTTCTTCTTCTTCTTCTTTTGTTCTTTTTGTTTCCAGTCAATTCATTCACGCGATAAAAACTTAAAATGAACATTTATTTAAGATCAGATCAGACAAATTGTCACCAAACAACAACAACAACAATAACAATAATAATCAGAAAAACATGAAAACAAATTATGGTGACAACATGCAAACAACTAGAAAAAACAACAACAACAACAAAATTTGTAATGAATGGGTTCTTTCTAGATTGGACATTTGTATTAATTAAGAAGACAGACAACAAAATGACAGTCTGTGCAAATCATTCTCTGTACGATAAGAATCATTGGTGAATGATTTTTTGGGAATATTATTTCTATCCAAACATGGTTCATCTATAGATTAAAAAATAGTTTGGCCATATTCAAAATATTGAAACTGAAAAAAACCATTTTAAAGTGGTCGATATTTACTTATATATGATTCACACCTAATGATGAGTGGTGGTTCACTAAAATATTTTGATTCAAATTTTTTTTTTTATTTTGACTGAAATCAAAATCAACAAATGTGTTTTATACTCTTCGCTTAACACACACACAGGATAGAATTCATATTCATAGAGGTGTGAAACTTGGAAAAAGTGTAACATTAACAATTTTTTTTTTCTAACGAGATTAAGTGATCAAATCTAATTGGGGACCACACCATAAGTTTGGGTTAGATTTTTGTTGTTGTTGTTTTGTTTACATTAGGAACCATTCAAGTGTTTTCAGGTCACCACATTATTATTATTATTGATCATCAATGATGATGATCTTGATGGACCCAGAAAACTTCTTTTTTTCTCTCTTAAATGAGCCAATCATATATTTAAAAGGTTGTAAACGTTGCAACTGCCATAAATGTGATTCATTTTTCCGGATAAATCTTTCCGTTAATCATCATCATTATTGATAATGTAAACATGGTTAAACCTTTCTTTTTTTTCCTGGTTGCTTACAGTTATTTACAATTAAAATTCATTCAAATCGATTCGTTTGAATTGAATTGGATTTCATTCATAATTTTCTTTTATTTTCAAGTGATTTTGGAAAAAAATTCAGTTCGTAACAGAAAAAATTCGTAACTATTTCGACACAATAATCATTATTATTATTATATGGAAAAAAATAACTACAATAAAATCATCATTATGATTTCAAGGCCCAGGAAAATCCTTTTATTATTATATGAATTTTTTTTTTGGTTGTGTAAATAAACAAAATCTTATCCCACACACACACACACACACGATTGATAAATAAATAAAAATTTCGCTGATGATGATCATCATTAGGGTCTAGCCATTTTGGAACCATAATTCATACGTCGACAATAGGATTTTTTTTTTGTCATCATCATCGATCTAAATAAATGAATAAGAAGATCAGACAAAACTTTTTATATTCATTAGTGTGTGTGTGTGTATATAAAAGTATTTATTAATCAGATTTAGTGAGACCGATTATAAGATTTTTTTTTTTGTTTGTGTGTGTGTGTGTTTGTGTGAATGACTGATTTTGTTTTTGGTTTTTTCCATTCACTCATTGTATTTTGTTTTCAATGATATAATCTTCAATAACAACAACAACAACAATAACGACGAAGGTAGAATAAAATCAGTATCGTTCTCCTACTAATAAGGTTGTTGCTGTTGTTTCTTTTCTAATTTTTTTGTGGCTTAAAATCTCAGACAAACGTAAACAAATTTTTGGTTTCCAAGCTAAAACAGCTCGCGGATGTATGTATGTATGATATATGAATGGATATGGTCTTGAAAATTGAAAAAAAAAATTTCAAGTATTCATAATGTGTTAGTTGAGTGATGGCCATCAAATGAATAATTTTATCCAGATAAACATCCAAAAATGCCAAGTGTCAAGGAGAGAAGAAGAGAAAACAAGGTTATCAACTGCCTTTGCTTTTTTTTTGATTCTCAATCATCAACCTTTAAGATTCTTTTTGATCAAAACAAAATATGAGGAAAAAATTTTTGATTGAAATAGAGGGCAATATAAATAAAGGTTCAAGTGTTAATGTGTTAAATCATCATCATCATCATCATTAGTTTTTCCTTTTTCTTCTAACAAAATCAAATCCATAACGTTTTTTTTTCTTCTTTTTTTTTGATTTTGAAATGTTAAAAACATAATGGTGGTGGTGGTGATATGATTGAATGATATGTCAACAATAAAGTTACTTATATTCTTTGATGATTTACTTTAATATTGCTCTCTTTTATTAATATATAATGGACATGGTTGATGTATTCATCATCAACTAAATAGAAAATAGAGGTGTTTTCAATCTGACAAGAGTGAGAGAGAACCATTATAGTTGCTCAAATCATTGAATGATCAATGAATGATGATCGTTGATTGTTCATGTTGTTGTTGTTTCTTGATGATAATTTAACACCTCGGGTTTTTTTTCTGACTTTTTTTCGGTGATGAGGGTGATGTATGATGGATGATGATGATGGTAAAAACTCATCATCATCATCGTCATCGTGTCATGTCAATCATTTGAATCCATTTAGAGGTGATAGGTAAAGTCATCAAGTCTCGACAATCATTTAGATTTGAAAAAAAAGAATTTTCAAGAAGCAAAACGTTTTTTCGCTACAATCGGAACAATAAAATATCGTTAGTGATTCGTTGGCCATCATTTTATTCAGCCATCTTTTTCCCCCTTCAAAATCATTGATCACAGCTAACGGCCTCTATTGTTTGAGAATCAAAACAAATATTCATGGAATAGTTATTTATCATCAACGATAGATGGCATACATAATGCTATAATTTTTTATTTTATTGCTGAA